AAAAAAAAAAAAAAAAAACAACCCCAAAAACTGATGAAAATTAGCCATCTTAACCTTTTTTAAAGTTATGACTATAAGTAAACACGATATAATCAATCCCAAACCTTTTCATCTTTCCAAACTGGTATTGTTCCCATTAAAATACTAACTTCAGCGGCTGAAGAGATGAATCCATGGAGGAGAAGAGTTCAGTTCCCAGCACTCAGCTCACCACTGCCTCTAACTCTAGCTCCAGGTTTTCTAATTCCCTGCACACACAAGATGCTCACAGCATGCACACACATACTTTAAATAAATATAAAAACAATCTTGCCAGGTATGGTGTTGCACTTTCCCAGCACCTGAGAAGCAGAGGCAGGTGGATCTCTATGAGTTCAAGGCAAGACTGGTCTACATAGTGAGTTCTAGGCCACCCAAAGGCTACATAGTAATACCCTGTCTCCACCCTTGCCCCCCAAATCTTTAAAATGTATTCACTTCCTATTTATCCTGAGGTAGGATAGAAAGGGAAACAATTAGGTTGTGAGAAGGAAGAGGAGCCCCCTCACCCAGAAATTTGGTTGAAGCCTCTTACCCACAGAGAAGCAGGAATTCCGGCACAATTAACTGTTCAAGACCTTTTTCCCTCCTCAGCTATAAATCTGCAATTTTCTAGGACTTTCATCAGAAACTTTATTTACAGGAAAAGGACATGTACAAAACTCCTTATGCAGCCAGTGGCTCCTGGTTTTACCCTATCAGATTATAATTCCATCCAAGGCATGTCTGAAGCCACCCTATAATCTCATAATACACATGTACAATGTGCAAGCATCCTTCTGAGATCTAAGTTGAGAGCCATCAAAATGGTGTATATAGCGAGTGCTAAGATTGTGACTCCTTTGAGGATCTACATGTGGGTATACCTTTCTTAATCTCTTCTAAGTCTATGTTAAAATATCTTCAATAAAACCTCAAATTTGATTTTACTAGTCCTAAAATTCTTGTCTGAGTCAAAGCCATAAATCCAGTTTGGCCTGTGTTACAGTCTCTAAGAGATAAAGGGACGTTCTCTGGCTAGGATGAAAGCATGGAGTTTTATCTGTCCCCTCACCACTGACACTCCCTCTTCTGGAAACAACCTGCAATCTACTATACCATTCTGTTTCTATGAAGTTGATTCCTTTAGTGACCTCCATGAATGGAATCATGCACGATTTGTTCTTTGTAAGTGGCTTATTTCACTGAGCATAGTGTCCTCTGGGGTTGTCCATGCTGTGACCTGGGACAGAGACTTTTTAAGGCTGTATGGATGGTCCACAGCGCCACAGGTTGATGTGTATTTATCCATCTGTGCACATCTGGGTGGTTTAACACTTGGGGCATCCTAGCTGGAGATTTGCAGTTGTGGAGTGGAGCCATAAGGCTGGGCCACCTGGCTCTTTGCCTTGCAGCGTCACTGGTGTCACCTGTCCCTCACGCCAGCGGTGTTATCAAGCCAAACACCACTGCAGCAATCTCTTCTCTGTGCCCTCAACACCCTCAACGCCCGTGGCTCTGCTCCAAGTTGCCCCAGCCAGCTCCACAGACCTGTGCAACTGAGCCAGTCGGGCACGAGGCTATGTTGGGTACCTATGGGTTGCTAGCTCTCAGCTCGTGTGCCATGACCACACAAAGATGCAGTCAAGTCACAGCCACGGTGTTGGGAACTGAGGCCTCACCTCCACCTCACCGTACGGCAGGGCGCAGCCTCCCCGGTTCACTGGGGTCCTTCCCCTGCAAGAGAAACTTTCCCTAAGTCGCGAAGGGGAGTATGGAAGGACCCGACGGCGTCCATGCTTAAGAGCTGTGGAGAATGTGGTGCACACGGCGTGTCCGGTGTAAAATCGGGAGCGCTTGAGGAAAGCCACTCGGTCTTGCCAGGCTACAAACACCGCTGGCTCCATGGAGACATTCTGGGCTGCATTCATCTAACACCACTTTACAAGTCACTGACTCCGAAGGGACCGTCTGGAGCCGCACTGCAAAGACAGGCGGCGCGGCCCCAGGTCTCCAGACCTTCAGCCGCTGCCGGAGGCAGTGAACAGTGGGCTTGGCCGTAGACGGCTCCGCCCACGCCCCGCCTTTTCCGTGGGCGGGGACAGAACCTGCCAACCAGGAGTTCCCGAGGCATGCAAATAAGCTCCGCCCCCAGGGGAAAGGCGTTTCCCCAGACTTCCTGCTTCCTCCGTAGGCGCCCCTGCAGAGTTTTGCCTTCCTCACTGACCGGCGGCGCTCAAGTCCGTTAGCGAGGCCGGAAGTGCGATAGGGAGGTGCAAACTGGCCGGAAGCCGAGCTCCGGACACGCCCACCTGCCGGAAGCGCCGGAGCTGTATCTCAAACAGGGTTGCTGTTTGACAGGATCGCTGCGAAGGCGGACGGAGGGACGGACAGGCGGTGTGGTCAGCGCGGCGGCTGAGGGCCGGAGTCGGCATGGCGGAGGGCGGGAGCCCCGAAGGGAGGGCTGGCCCAGGGCCCGCAGGTAACGTGAGCGGCGTGGGGTGGTGGTGGTGGTGGGGCTGCGTCTCGGGTCCAGCCAGAGTGGCCCTCGGTTCGTCCCGGCCCCGTGTCCTCCGTCCCCGTCGGCCAGGTCCGCGGAGCCGCACCCCGGGTCAGTAAGTGGGCGTCAGGCTTCGCGGGGCCCAGGGCGCGACCCCCGCTCCCGGCCTCTCGTGGTCAACCCTCCCGCGGTTTTTGTTTTTTTTTCCCCCAAGGTGGAGTTACAAGGCCAGGTGGAGTTGGCCTTGAAACTGCCACCCTGTTAGCCGATCCTAGTCTGCGGTGACCCCGGCTGTGCCATGGGGCACGGATCCTCTTCCAGGTCTGAGCGCACTGGTCGGGAAAGGTCCTCAGCGGTCGGCCCTCTGTAGGGCAGGCTCCTTTTCCTCACCCCGTCCGACAGTCAGCGCATGGCCCAGATGGTGCATGGTGGCCCCTGCGCCCCCCACCCCCACCCTTTAACAACCGCGCTGTCCCCAGCCAGCCAGCCAGTGACACAGCGCTTACAGCGGCGCTCGACCCACCTGCAGAGAAAGGCGGACGGACGGTGGCCACCTGGCTTAGCGTCTCCGCTTTGCAGTGCTGCTACTGTGGGGCTGAGAATTCCCAGGAGAAGGAATTTCTGGTACGAAGTCTCCCACTGGACTGGGGTCTTTCTGAGACTGCCATGTGTGTCGTAGGTAACTTGCTGTGTCCGTCTCTGGTTTTGGAGAGACACTTGTTTTGTTCAAGGAACTCTCTTAGGTATCCAGAATCTCAGAAGGCCACACTCATGACAAACTCTTTTGTCGTTCCTCCCTCCATCTGGTCAACCAACTTCATTGATGGTCTACTGTTGGCTTAGCTCACCTGGCACTGTCAGGGTGACCAGAAAAGGCTAGACGAAACACCAAGAACTTCGCTTTGGCATTGACTTTGTTCCCAGGGACAGACAGGATCTGTGAGTGGACTCCCCTGTCACGCAGGAGTGTGAGATGGGTAAAAGCAGTTATTTCTTCGTGTCGAGAAGGGTCCTGTGGAAGAAACAGTGGTTTTGGCCTCCTGCCCTCTCCTTTCAGGACCTGTTTTGTTAGTGTGTTTCCAGCCTGCGGTGGAGGGACAGGTCTTGAGTGCTGTCTTGGGGGTAGTTGTGTTGTTATTGGATTAGATGATCAGACAAACACAAACTCTAAGTGGCCTTTTGACTCTAGAATTGGGGGACATTCTGAAGGTGCCTTGGCCCAGGCTGGTAGTGCTGAAGAATGGTGAGCAAAGGGAGGTCCAAAGACCTGATCAAGTCCTCTGGTGCCCACTTGCTGAATCTTCCCCAACTTTGGCTTTGAACTTTGATACCCATTGGTAACTGCATTGTACTTGCAATGGAGGGTCATGATTGAAGGAGGTCCTGGATAGGGCCTTAAAGAGTGGTTTCTAGGCTGGGCAGCCGGTGGCACAAGCCTTTAATCCCAGCACTCGGGAGGCAGAGCCAGGAGGATCTCTCTGAGTTTGAGGCCAGCCTGGTCTACAGAGATCCAGGACAGGCACCAAAATTACACAGAGAAACCCTGTTTCAGGAAAAAAAAAGTGGTTTCTTGCCCCATTCAGTGGACTTTCAGATCCTGGAGGGCAAGGACACTTACTCATCACCACGCTGTAGCTTTAGGAGAGTCTTGTATTCAGCAGAGACTCAAAGGACGTTTTATTTGAATATGAAAACAACTTCAATATCTAGAAGAAGCCTGCTTTTGAAGGGATGTGCTTGGTCACATGCTAGGACACCATCCCAGGGTGGGAGGCTTGTATCTCAGCAGTTAGGATTTGTGCTATTTTTATAACATCTGTTGGTGCAATTGTTTTATAAAGCTTTTCAATCCCCTGGAGTTAAGTTTGGGCTGTGATATGAGCAAAGATGCAAGTGTTTCCAAGCAGGTGATTATATAAATACTCTCCATTGACTACATCTCTCTCCACTTTTGATGCCTTGTTTTGTTGTTGTTGTTATTTGTTTTTGTTGTTATTTAGTTTGGTGAGAGTTTTGTTATCTAGTATGGTAGAGGTTTTTTTTTTTTTTCATGCCATTACTCTTTTGTTTGTTTTCTGTTTTTCAAAGACAGGGTTTCTTTGGCTGTCCTGGATCTCACTCTGTAGACCAGGCTGGTCTTGAACTTACAGAGATCCGCCTGTCTCTGCCTCCCAAGTGCTGGGATTATAGGTGTATGCCACCACTGCCCTGCCCATTATTCTTACTAAAACAAAAAGCAATTTCCCTTATGTATATTTACAAATAAATTTTGGAATAATTTTGATATACCCATTATCAAATTTCTGAAGAGATGAGCTACACTTGATTTATAGGTAACCTTGAGAATTTCTCTAATATTGAATCTTCTCATTCTAGTACATGGTATGTTTGGTTTTCCTATTTTATCCGTTCCATTTTTTCTTATATAAGCTGGATTTGTATTTGTGCATATATCTTTTAGTTTTCTACTTTACTGAGGTATAACTTTTTTCTGTGTGTGTGTGTGCACACATGTATATGTGGAGGTCAGAGGTCAACAGTTAGTGTTATCCTCACTTTGCACCTTATTTTTGAAACAAGGTCTCTCACTGCACATGGAGTTTACAGATTTGGATTTAGCTAGGCTGGCTGCTAGCCAGCCCGGGGATCCACAACCCTGCCTCTGCCTCCCCTACCCCCAGTGGAACTGTAGGCATGTGCAAATGGTCTTGGCTTTATGTGCAAATGGTCTTGGCTCTTTATACGAGTGTTGGGGATCTGACCTTAAGGGCGTGTGTTTGCATGGCAAGTACTACCAATTGAGACATCTCCCCATCCTCTTGAAGTGTAATTTTTATACAAAATGTGTACCTTTGAGATTTAATTCCTTTTCATTGCTATCCTAAGATAGGATAACTGTAAAGAAAAGAGATTGATTTAGTTCAGTCTTAGAGGCTGGATATCATGGTGCAGGTTCTGATATAGGCCCCTCACCTTACCTGTGGCACCTCGAGGCAGACAGCAGTGGGAGAACTGTGATCTCCAGGCTAACCAGGAAGCCAGAGACTAGGTGGGACTGGTCTCAAGCTCTTATAATAACCCTCCGATAAGAACTAGCTAGGATTCCAGAAGAAATTCTTCAGTCCCGCAGGAAGACACTTTCCCACTGACTCTGTGACCTCGTGATGCCACACTGGTTGATGGTCTTTGTTGTCTCCCAGAACTAGCATTCTGGGGACCACGCTTCTAACACATGGATCTCTGTGGATACAGTAGTACTCTGATGAATTGTTTCTTATCTAGATACCCTTGTTGCTATTTCTTGGAGCAGCATAGTAGGGAACTTACCTTCCTTCCAGGTAATAACCCTTGTTTGGTCCTTGGCTTTTGGCTAACCAGCTGTCTTTGTAGTAAAGGAGATGGCTACCATTTTCCTTTCAGATGCCCAAATTTAGAGGTGTTCATACATACTTGGGATAAATTAGAGTAGTTACAGGCTAGATTTTTTGGGGCATAATATTTTCGATTTTAATTTGGTAGTACTTTAGGATCTTCTATGTTATGAAGTACTGTGGCTCATTGTTCCATTGTTCCCTAATCCATCACATTTTTTTTTTTTCGGAAAAAATTCTTATCAGGCTTGGTGCCAATTTGATAAGGGGACGTTTACAGCTTGCTCTTTCTTATGAATTATCTTCTGGGGATTTGGAAGTTCCTGTGTGGCCAGGCAGGAAGAGCCACTGCAGAAGGCATCCCCTTTGCTTGGCCTTGCTAACGTTTCCCACGCTGATAGGAGCCCCTGTCTCCAGTGCAGGTCCTAATCTGAAGGAGTGGCTGAGGGAGCAGTTCTGTGACCACCCACTAGAGCACTGTGAAGATACGAGGCTCCATGATGCAGCCTATGTGGGGGACCTCCAGACCCTCAGGAACCTGTTGCAAGAAGAGAGCTACCGGAGGTGAGCATCCCTGAAGGGGCTGGAAACAGGATCGGCCTGTGGGTCTTCAGGAGGCTGGAATTGGTGGTTTGGATTGCAGGTTAAGACTGACGCTACGGGAGTACATTGACTTCAGAGGACAAAAGGAAGAATTATTGGTGGCCAGATACTGTGGGCAGGGGTCCCTGGGTCCAAGTCTGGCCCTCTGATTGACATTTGTGTTTTCTGGTAACTTGTTCTAGCTGGGCATTAGTTTCCTCAGTGTTTTTCTTGATGACAATGTTATTTATTTTAATTGTGTGTATATGGGTGCGTGGGTGGGTATGTACATGTAATTACAGGTGGCCACAGAGGCCTGAAGAGGTCATCGTTGGAACTGGCGATACAGGTGATTGTGAGCTACCTGATGTGGGTGCTGGGAATTGAGCTCAGGTCCTCTGGGAGAGTGGCACATGCCCTTAACCATTGAGCCATCTCTCTGGCCCTTTTCCTATGGCTCTTTATACTGAGTAGTTCTTTTTCTACAGCCACTTTATTGACATTCATTTGATGTTTTCTTTTTCACTTCTCAGGTCTGTAGTGATCAGCCATAGGCCAGCTGACTTCCCACTATAGGGATATGGTGGCTGCCATCTCCTTTGTTTTCTTTTACTGGCTTCTTGCCTCTTGATTACAAAATCCTTCTGGTCACTGAGTCCTGGCTCTTCCGTTAGAGCAGAGAGTCTTGCTGTGTCTCCCTGTGCGGGATGCTGGGAGTGCACCCATCATTCTCTCTGGAGGTCCCTTGAGTATGTTGTGTGAATGACGTCTTAACTAGATATTGAATACAACGGACACTGGCACTATATGCTTCTGTGTTTCTACTTTGCCTTGAGTGGATGCCGTTAATTGATGGAACTCCCTGTAGCAGACCTACACTGCTGCTTTTGTGTAGGCAATTCCCAAGCAAAGGATTCCTGACCAGCCAGGAGTGTGTTCCTTTCTTATCCTTCTAATGTCTTAGCATTATTTCATAGAGCACATGTCAGTATTTAAAAGCCAAAACACTAGAGGGCTAGAGAGATGACCTAGCGGTTAAGAGCCCTTGTTGCTCTCACAGAGGACCCAGATTCAATTCCCTGCACTCACACAAGACGTCCTCTTCTGACTTCTGCAGGCACCAAGCACGCATGTGGTACAAAGACTGTGTGCAGGCAAAACATTCATATGTGCAGTAAATGCATAAAATTAGTAAATCTAGTAAAACCAAACACAGAAATTAAATTTGTTTAATGTGTCAAACCCCTAAAGACTTAAGTACACAGATACAGCAGAAGAATGAAAGAGTTCAGTGCAGTTCCTATTGTGCTCCCCCTCCCTCTCCCTGTCCCCTCTTCTTTTCTCTTTTTCCCCCACTTCTTCCTCCCCACTTGGCCCTTATGTAGCTTTGTAGCCCAGGCTGGCCTTGAACTGCTGATCCTTCTGTCTCTGCCTCCAGCTCCTGAGTTCTAGATTATTGACCCATGCTGCCACACTGGCTCCTTTTTCTTAAACTCAGGGCTCATGAATGTCCTCTTCCTTTAACATATTTTCTTTTGCTGTTCATTTCTCTGGTGGAGAGTTCTGGAGGGTTCCTGGCCTTTATTGGCCCATATCAGTCCAAGTGTGACTGGAGGAGGAACACCAGGGCTTGCTTTAGTGAGACACTGCCCATGGCACGTTCCCTAGTTTCTGCTTCAGCGCGGAAACCAAGGTGCAGCACACCTTGGTTGCTGACCTGGAGGGTCAGTGGACAGCGTAGCTAGTTATATGTGGTCATACTGTCTGAGAGCTGCATCTGGACAGTTTGGTGCCACTGCTGGCCGAGACTGCAGCCCTTGTAACCTTAATAATCTAGGCTCCCAGTTATTGTGGGTCAGGGTAGGAGGACAGAGATTACTACTACTGACTATCTTTATCTGGAGAGGATCCAGCCTTGGACCTTTAGAGGTGGTCACTAGTAAGAGGGTGTGCATGGCCCTGCCTGTCCTGCTCGTGTCCCCGATGGATCTATATGTATTTTGTAGAGGATCAGGCTTTGGAATGTGGGTTAGGACTCTAAGAACTAGAAATCTCAGTTTTAGTGCTGATTATTCTGCCGAAGCCTCTAGTTTCCTTGTCAGTGGGCCCTGAATACCTATTTTCTCTGCTCAAGTTCAGCAGGGGCAATTGTGGAAGCATTTCAGGACACAGAACACAAAGGGCTGGAAATGTAGCTCACGGGTAGAGTATTTGCATAGCATGTACAACATCCTGGGTTTGATCCTCAGCACCAGGGGAAAGAAAACAGAACACAGTGAAGGTATTCTAACTGTGAGGATTGGCTGCCTAAATGGCTGTCTTTCTTGGGAGCCTCTGCCAGGGTGAGAGGAGGGAGAACAGCTCATTTGCCTAGGGTGACTCTCATAAACTCCCTGTCCTCCCATATAGCCGCATTAATGAGAAGTCTGTCTGGTGCTGCGGCTGGCTCCCCTGCACCCCACTGAGGATTGCAGCCACTGCAGGCCATGGCAACTGTGTGGACTTCCTCATACGCAAAGGGGCCGAGGTGGACCTGGTGGACGTCAAGGGGCAGACTGCCCTGTATGTGGCTGTAGTGAACGGGCACCTGGAGAGCACCGAGATCCTCTTGGAAGCTGGCGCTGACCCCAACGGCAGCCGGCACCACCGCAGCACTCCTGTTTACCATGCCTCTCGAGTGGGTAGGGATGACATCCTGAAGGCTCTCATCAGGTCAGTACTGCCCGGTCCCTAGCCACTTCTCCTTGTTCCTGAGCTTGCATTTCCTGCTTTAGGAGTGTGCTTGTTAGAGGACTTGGAAGGACGGCTTCATCAGTGCTCTTCATTGCTTTCTGACCCATGATGCCTTACACTTTCAACAGTGTAAACTTTCAATGTAATTTACCTTCATTTATAGCTTTAGCATATCCCCTAAAGTTTCTTAATCTTTAAATATTAAAAATATTATTATGTGCGTGCATGCGTGTGTGTGTGTGTGTGTGTGTGTGTGTGTGTGTGTGTGTGTGTGTGTACTAGAGGGGGCATCAGATCTCCTGGAGTTGGTACAGGCAGGTGTGAGCCATATGATGTGGGTGCTGGGAACTCAACTCTGGTCCTTCGCAAGTGCAGCAAACGCCTAACTTCTGAGTCATCTCTCCAGCCCCAAAGCTTATTTTCTTCAATACCTGTAGCTGAGGTCAATTTCTTCTTTGTTCTTAGAGGTATGGAAGAGGATTCTGTAATAAAGTGAAGTTTTTCATTATTAACGCCGCTCTCACACATTGTTGCGAATGCTTGCATGGTGTGTTAGCCTAAGTTCCTCTCTTGAGGATTCCCCTTTTTTCTTTGCCATCAGATCTGCCAAAATTTAGAGAAATGTTGAAGTCTGTAATTACTGTTGTGCCTTTTGTCAGTTGCCTCTGCATTTCAATTAGGTTTGCTCTGAGTGTTTGATTTAATTATATTAATATTACAGTTACTTTTGTTTGAGCCAGCTTGTGTTCTCTCTTTTCATATTTTCAGTAACATCTTTCTACCATAGAGATCGTGTTCATCCCTTACTGTGGAGGCCAGCTAGTTCTAGGTTAGGCCAGCGTAGCTTAGCTAGCTAGCTGTTAGTGAGAGTGTTTTGTATAGAAAAGGAGCAGGTAAAAGTTCCGTTGTTGAAGACTGCCATCAATGGGGTCAGATGAGTGGGCATTCTTGCCTTGTACAGAATGTGGTTTCTCAACCAGGTTCTGGAAATAGAGTCTTTCAAAAGGCTTATATACTAATGAGCTATAGACTTGGTGTGGGGGAAGATAAATGATCAAGGAGGTTTTAAATTGATAAATGATCAAGGAGGTGATAAAGTTAGGGCTTCAAAAAATCATTTAAGGGTTTCTAGCACGATGATCTAAGCTACCTTAAATTCATGCCTTTGCATCTTAAAGAATTTAAGGCATTAATGTGGAAATGATGTTTTGTTTTGTTTGAGGTAGGGTTTCTCTGTGTAACAGCCCTGGCTGTCTTGGAACTTACTCTGTAGACCAGGCTGGCCTCAAACTCACAAAGATTTGCCTGCCTCTGCCTCCTAAGTGCTGGGACTGAAGGCGTGCATCATCACTGCCCAGCTTTGTTTTTGAATTTTTTATATTTATGTGTTTGTGTGTGTACATATGCACGCTCATGCATGCTCCACAGTATGACTGTGGAGGTCAGGGGACAACTTGTGGGAGTTGGTTTTCTCTCAGTTGTTTGGGTGTGTAGAGATAATAAAAGCAATAGAGAAATTTAGAAAATATTCAGGATTAAAATGAACTGGATCCTGTTCAGTATATTTTTATGAGTTTCAAAGGCTGTCTTTCCTACAGCTCAATTGGTACCAGATTGTCACACTGTCATACCAAGATTGTAAACAATTTGGAAGACATGTCTCCCATGAAGAAGGAAGAAATAATTACTATGTGAGATGTAGATTTCCTTGTTAGTTGAAAAGTGCAGTGAGTGAGGTGGAAGTTTCCTGCTTGTAGAGTGTTCTCCTCTCTCCTAGAAAGCCTCAGAGGAAAGGTAAGGTTTTCTTTGTAGAGGAGTGTAGCTAGAGTTTTCCTGCCTTGCCCACAGTCAGGACAAATCTTTGTCACCCGCCAGTCCCACAGCCGCTCAGACCCGACCAAGTAAACACAGAGACTTATATTGCTTACAAACTGTATGGCCGTGGCAGGCTTCTTGCTAACTGTTCTTTTATCTTAAATTAACCCATTTCTATAAATCTGTACCTTGCCACATGGCTGGTGGCTTACCAGCGTCTTTACATGCTGCTTGTCCTTGCGGTGGTTGTAGTGTCTCTCTCCCCTTCTTCCTGTTTCCCTAATTCTCCTCTCTCCTTGTCCCGCTTATACTTCCTGTCTGGTCACTGGCCATCAGTGTTTTATTTATATAGAGTGATATCCACAGCAGAGGAGAAGTGCCAAGAAAGGATATTGACCTTGTGTGTCCTCAGGCCTGGGCTGCCCCAAAGAAGCACTTTTGATTCCAGGTCCTTTGGACACACATCTGAAGTGCTAGAGAACCATTATGAAGCAGGACGGCTGGCTGAGACTGTTGGCCATCTGTCTTCTAGGCAGGGAAAATGGTATTTCTCCATCTTCTCTGGATCCTGACTATTAGGTCCCCACATGTTGAGTCCCCTCATCATTGCTTCCTATATGTTGTCATTTCCTGTTTCAAGTGAAATACTCAGGCGATGACACAGTTTGTGAGACTTCACAGAACTATCTGGGGCCGGGGAGGGCTTAAGTAGACAGGTGACTGGTGTTTGCCTACTTTAGAGGATCCTACTGGGCAGGAATCTTGCAGACGTGAGTCCTGCTCTCGTTGATCCTATTACTCCCGCTTTTCTTTCTGATCCCTTGATGACAGTGGTGTCGGGTTTTTCATTGTAAAGCTGCTCCTCCCTTTGTAATTAGTATTTCGTGGGGAGACATTTTGCCCCCATATATATGCCTTGTGCTTCATCTCAAATTTGTATTTATGTTAGTGTAGACTTACGGTTTCTTACCTTGTTCAGGTGGAGTTACAATCCATCATTGTTGCTTACTTTGATGATCACATTAATGCCACTGGTGGTTTATGACAGCTCTGTGTTCTTTTGACATATCCTTACTGTTTTGGGAGCAGTTCCTTACGTTCTTACATAACAGGATAGTCTAAGCTCTGGTAGACTTTCCTGAGTCAGTCCTGGAGTAAGTCCTCCCAGAGTCCAGTCTTCTTTCAGTGAAGAAACAAAGATCTAAGCTGGGCAGAGAAGCACATGCCTGTAACCTAGCTATTTGAAAGCTTGCCACCAGACTGTGTAACATAATGAGACTCTGTCTCAAAAAGAAAAGAAACCAAGATCTGAAGTACTTTTGGGAGTGTGTTCTACTCTGGAAGCATTGTTCCATCCCTGGAGCTGGGGGCGCGAGTCCATATCACATTTCTGTTCCCGTTATACAGTGACCGGAGTTAATATGCATCTCTTACTGCCTCCCCTCACTCCTCCTTGCCCCATTTGGGCTCCATTTCCTTTGCCAAGCCTCTGTCCTTAGTAGGTATCTTGCTCACTTTGTCAGGACTCTGCCCCCTGAGCCAGATTGCCCTCCTTGTTGTAGCTGGCTGACCCCTGGTTAGAGTAAAAGAGATAGGTAGTTTGTACTTGACCTCAGACAACTCTAAATGCCATATATTTGGGTGTCTGTGGAGCATACCCAGGGCAGGCAGAAAAGACTGGCTGTGGGTCCTTCAGCACCTGCACCTGGTGAGAGATAGTCCTACCACCTGGACTGTCCTTGGGAGTCAGGAATGGTCAGCTCTAGGAATCACTGTCTGACTGCTGTGCCCCTGCCTCCTGGGCAGGGCTGCATGATGCTGCCCTGCTGGCAAGCCATGCTTCCTGTCGTAGGTCCTTAGGTCTTTGCAATTGAATCTGATGCTGGGAGTATCCCTGCCATTCCCCGAGCCTGAATGTTAGACTGTCGGAAAAGAGGACTCATCATGTTGGGGAGCACAGCATGGCTGACCAGCTATGGATGGATGCACTTGGGTTTGTTGGTTCCTCTTTGCTCTTAGGTTTCAGTGGTTGCTTCACCATGTGAAGTGTTTACATGGCTCCAACTGTGGTCTATACAAAAGGTGTATTGAAAAGGTCTAGCTCCTAACCTTGTCTCATTGTCCTGATCTCTCCCTCCCCTCCAGGTAAGCATTTAGGTCTGTGATTTGTCCTTCACTATTACAAATGAGTAAATGCATGTGTATGGCTGAGTAGTTTATATTTACACATGGCAAACCTGTAAAACAAGTATATACTGCACACATTCTTATCTCACCTTTCTCACATATTCATGTGCTGTGGAGGACATTCCAGAGCAGTGTAGAGCAGTATTCCTCCTTCCCTTCATAGCTTCTCAGTTCTGCTTCTTGAGGTAAAGCAGCCAGTCCCTGTTGGTGGTTTCCTGGCTTAGCTGGTAGGAACAATGCCTTAATGAATTGCCTTGTGCTAACATCTTAGCTTTGCAAATGTGTCTTGGGAACAAGTCCCAAGAAGTGTGACGGATGAGTTCAAGGGTAAGTGCATGTGTAATTTTGATAGAATTGCCAAATTTCTCTCCACAGGGATTGCTCCATTTTAGTTGCCATAGCAGTGAGTGATAGTTGTGTTTCTATTACAGCACAGCCAGTCAACATTGGGAGCTTTCTAACCCTACGGGCACAAAGTAGAATCTTCGGGTGCTTTACAATTCGACAACATTTTATTTATCTGTGTGTGTGTGTGTGTGAGAGAGAGAGGGGGGGGGCGGGCGGGGCGGGGGCACTTCATGGCATGGGTGTGGAAGTCAGAGGACAACTTACACAAATTGGTTCTTTCCTTCCAGAGTGTGGGTACCAGGGATTGAACTCAGGCCATCAGTCTTGACAAGTCTTGACATCCCACTGAACAATTTCACCAGCCCCAGGTGGCAAATTTGACCTAAATAATGGCTCCTAGTTTCCATATGGTTTTATAGTTATGTAGCACGAATTGCTGGAAGGTTTTGTTAATAAAATCAAACCTGAAGCCAGGTATTGGGGTGAACACTGGAGATCAGAGAAGCAGAACGAGCCACAGCCACCTCACCTTGCCAGTTCCTCAGCTGGTCCTGTTTTCTCAGACTGGAAGCCTCTGAGTCCTCATCCAGAATCAATCTCAGCTGAACTGTGCTGCTCAAAAGCCTAAAAGCTTAACCAGCCAAAAGCTTCCAGTTTCTGGTCTTCATGCCTTATATACCTTTCTGCTTTCTGCCATCACTCCCTGGGATTAAAGGCTCACTTTTTGGGATTAAAGGCATGAGTGCCACCATTTTCTAGCCTCTGTATCTAGTGGCTTTTCTGTTCTCTGACCCCAGATAAGTTTATTAGGGTGCACAATATTTTGGGGCACACAATACCACCACATAGTTACTTGTAAATTCTGATCTGTTTGGAATTAATATTGTGTGCACTGTGATGAATGGACTTAACTTTATCTTTTCCCATATGCATTTCCAGTTGTCCTAGGGGAAAAAGTATGAAAAAGTTCCCTCTTCCCCCTTAAGATAGTTCCTTACTGTGCATCCTTAGTTTCTGCTTGCAGTTGGGTCTGTTGTAAGATGTTTGTGTGTTTACGTGGGTCTGCTGGCTCGTCCACATGCTCCTGTTACAGTTTGACAGAGCTTATACCAAGCCCTTCTTGAGGTGGAGCTATTTCCTCTGCGCTGTTGCTCTGCTTTTCGATCTTGTTTGATCTTCCAGATGAACTTTAGAACCAGCATATGTAGTTCCAGGGTCCTTTGCAGCTAGCTTCAGTAGTTCAAGAACAGTGTTTTCACTCATAAAGTCGACTTAGGGAAAAGTTGTGTTATTCTGAGCTTCTTCTAGTGTTTGATGTGTCTTTGCATTTTCTCAGGTCTGCTCTTGTAACTCTGAGTTGTTAGGTTTATGCTGTCTAGATCATTTTAAAAATTATTTTGCTGCCATAAGGGCTATT